ACCTAACATAGCTCCATCTGATAATTAATTATTTTATTAACTGGTGCTACCATTAAATATAAACCTTATATATATATATATATATATATATATATATATATATATATATATATATATATATATATATATATATATATATATATATATATACTTATTTCTATTCCATTAATTCCTAATTATCTGTTAACTTATATCGTCTATACTGAATGTTTTATACTCCTATTTGTACTTTTACTAATCCACTACTCTGGAATTTGTATCTATAGTTTTATCTCTCTTAACTGATATGGTATGGTAAAATGAATTGGTGAACGAACCTTCCATGATCTATGTTGCTTATGCCTGACTGATAGAATCGATATATTTTTGATCTAAAGACGCAGACTTTTTTATCTAACTTAATCTAAATATTTTCTGCAATGATAATGTGCTACATTTTCAAATTCTCAACGTCAGTATTTTCCAAGTTGCCTGTTTACTTTTATTTCAGGAGTAGTTGACTTAAGACTAATTGTCTTCTTTTCTGTGCACAATAATTATACAGATTCTCGATTACTACAGAAATTGATAAAGATACAACTCCCAGTACATTATCAGAAAATAGTTTTGAATCAAGTCTACATCATCGTCGTAAATCAGCTTCTCCTCAACGACGGGAATTACCGATTAAAAAAGTCTCATCTGGATATAAGTCTCAAAGTTCTAACCAACTTTTAAAGTCATCCAAAGGTAGACCGTTATTCATGGAGCCTGTTGTTCAAACAGAAGTGATTTCCTATGATTCAAAAACAAGTGAACCAACAGAATCAGTTCATATGAATAAAAAAGGAAATATCCTTGTAATTGACAGTGAGTCAACCTTGATAGCAGATACTCAGTTAGAGGAAAGTACTCTGCAATCAAATGACATCGGTGTCAATTCTTCTTGCTCTAATAAACAAACACAGGAGGATGATTTTGTTACTGCTGATGGTTATGTTGATGATGAGTGCATATTAATAGAAGGGAGTCAAGGTAGTAGCCAAATCAATAACACCGAAGATCAGTTGATTTCTTCAATGAATAGTCAAATAAATCAATATAACTTCTCACCTATCAATGTAGAGGAGAGTTCAGAAATAAATAATGATAATAATAGTGATACAAAGGTAATATTTTCTATTTAATGATTGTTAATTTTTTCCTTGTCCTGTAAATTCTATATCGTTATATCACTATTTAGTGTAACGTATCGTAAAGTGTTGCAATATGTTTCAGTATTTGATTTTATTGTAAGAATGTATCATTTCCTTCGAGTTTTAGAAAGGAAATTATAGATATGTCATGGTCACACAATCTTTAAGACTGGTCAGTAAACCATGAATTATTACACGAGTAGATTAATAATTTATAGTATAATAATCCTACCAATGTAAAAAGGATCATGATTTAAACTCAGTAGGGTGTTGATGTAGTCTGTCATTATAAGTTAAGAAATGTTTTTACATATTTTACCCTTTTCATTAACTGTGAATTTATTACTCGATGATATTGAAAAAGCGGCCTTAGATCATCCCCTTGATTTTCCAATGAGGTATGTATCGTAACTTATAAATTTATTTTCAATAATACCCTATATTGTCTACTTTCGTTATTAGGTTGTTCTTGTTAGTGTGATATATTACATAACTAGTTGCAAAACATCTAATTCCTTGCAGACTTTAAATACATGAATACTTGTGTTCCTTAATATATTCACTTTTTTTACTAATTTGTTTTTTTCCTTACTCTTTTTACAAAATGTAGGATAATAGTTCAAGCTCCCAAACAATTGCCATCTTAACAGATAATAACGACACTAATGATAAAAGTGTAGTAACTTCTAGTCTCATTGGTCCTAATGAAACCATTGATGAACGGGATGTTACATCCTTGACATCACCTGACAATAATAATGAAATCATGAATGAGAACAGTAGAGAGAGTGAAGTGAAGGACGATACCGTCGGTGATAATAAAGAAAATCAACCAGGATCAACAATGATGAGTGACTCAACAGAAAATGATGTAGAAAAAGATATTTTAGATAAACTATCACAAATCGCAACTAGTTTGCCTATATTAAGACCAGAACAAAGACGTGTTGTCCTTTTAGAAGCTCTTAGTACATTCAAATCAATTATGCCGTAAATATTAAACAGTTTATCATATATTCTCTACGATGAGAAACAATTTAAGAATAGAAGCGCAAATTCAACATTAACATCATCTAATGTTTTTTCCCAGTTGTTCAGTCATTATTGTTGCCTAGCATACTTTTATTTTGAAAAAATTGCAAAACATATTTTTACTAAGGGGGATCACCATACCTACCTTTTAAGTTTATGCAGTTTTGACACATGGTATCATTATTTTTCTAAATATGAGATCTCATTTATGAGTGATTCTTATCTTAATTATGCATTCCCTGTCCCCGTTTTAGTTAAGAGAATAAAAATACAATGAAACAGTAGACTTGGTTGTATCCAATTCTATCATGCAGTTGTTTTTTTTATATCTATGCTATCTACTGGTTTCACTTCAAGAAGGTTCTGCCATGTTTACATAGAGTATTGTATTTTTCACAAGTGGTTTTTAGATTTGAAGAAAAAATCCTATTTATTTTAAGTAAATCTCTGTACTGTTTTACCCTACTTGGTTTTCCTTTCGATAAATTTGTAACACTGAAAAGCTAATATTTTAGAATTCATTTTAATTTTCATTATATAAGTCTGTCTGGTGTCAAAGTTCAACTGAATGGATGACAATTTTGAATTCGTGAATTATCTGTCTAAAATATAGAAATATTCGTTAAGAAATGACCATAGAATTGTTCATGGAAAATAAACATATGATAAACATTAGTAGAGTTTTGTTTCAAATGAATAGGTTAGATATAATACTTTGTTAGATGTATATCACTATCTGCCAAACGGTAACCAGTTCAAATTAAAGAAGCGCAATAAATTCAGATTTTGGTAAGTAGTCTCATTTGAAAATTGCGGTAAAAGCTAATTACATGTTACCTTGTTATTGTAATGCTGCACAGTTCTAGTGACTACGAGTCATATATTTAAATCGATTGAAACAATCAAAAAGGTCGATTCTGTCTTCAGTATTTAAGTTGTTTTAGTTATTTGATGCTCATATTTTGTTCAACAAAAAGTTTATGGTAATTGTCCACCTTGTCATATTTGCCAGGATTATTGTTTCAAAAAAGTCAAACATACACAAAGAAGTACATGATTAAGGCCGTTACAGTAAATCTATTTCAATAAGATCACCACACAGTTATCTGGAACGCGGAACTTGGTTGGACTCTACTTATTTTAAGCACCTAGCTTTGTTTGATCAGATTGGGTTTAGATGCTGACTTGTCAATACTTAGAAAACTAACTGAGTCTTTCAGTTCATTCGAAATCCTACTTGTTTTGTTTCGACATTTACCAGTCATCGATAAATTTAAATCACATTCTGGTTTTACGTTTTTTTTTGTGTATACTGAAATTCAACCTTAGTCAATGTAGAACTTTATGTAATTGCGCATCAGCCCATATTTCCGTTTCAAATCAGCACAATGGGAGGAAATTAACGAGATAAAGAGTCGAAATATGCCTAGTATCGATGATGGTGAGAAGATAGATATATATTGGAGAATATGATTCAAAAATGTGTGGAAGAATATTGGAACTTAAAATCTAGAGAAAGATGTAGAGTGAGTTTATATGTAACCAATCATAAACCATGGTACTCAACGTCTCTAGCTACTGATCATGTTTATTGGACAGACATCAACTTGAGATATTGTCACCTTTGAGTTATCCGTATAATTGATTAGTTTTATTGGCTCTACTATTGATACGTGCGTAGAATAAGAGATTAGATCAGTAGGTATATTGTCCCTACATATTTTTTTAACTGGGATCCTCATCTTACATTCCTAAGTAAAGCTTTTTAGCCAGATGATTTCACTCATGACAATAAACAATCTTCGATTGAGGTGGTTGGAATGATTTACATAATCCTAGCAATAAATCTACCTCCACAGGTAGTGCAACTTGGGAAATAAGTTGCACCGATCTATACCTCAGCCAAAGTCTATTTAACTAGTAATTCTGCACTAATACCGATGACAATATTTCTTAACAATTAGATAGAACCTGTTACCTTTCCACACCTCAATTTCGTAACAGAATCGATCGAACTAATAGGAGCGCACATCACTAACTTATTCACTTTATGGTAGCTAATTAATAGTTGAGTGTAAGTGACTCGTCAAATTATCACTTGGAATTTTATCCGCTAATGAAAGTTTACCACAACTTATAAAGACCCGTTTCCGAACAAGCGAGGCAAGCAATTTTACAACAATAATCGTTTGACCCTTTTAGAGTCTAAAGTATTTGTTGGAAATACATTAATACAGAAAGTTAGGATATAAAATACCCTCATCGCTACCCTTTTATTATCGATATTTACTTCAGTCATGATATTGACGATAGTATATTGTAATAAAGATACAGAATAATACATTGAGAACTACGAATTATCGTAGGTGAATTATTTGTAACCTTATATTGCCTGTTATATTTAGATAAATCTTTGGCTAGGACACATTTCCATCATGGTGCTAGGATTTAGTCAGAGTAGGTAGGTGGCAAGTAAAAAATGAGTCCCTATTAGGATCCTCTAACTTTTGCTAGCTTTTACTTCAGATCAGTAAGTAGTATACCATACGAATGACCTTATTGGTTACGCTTTATTAGCTAACATAATTACATAAGGAAGGAGAAGACTCCCTAGTAATATTGTTACTTTGAATGAGGTCAGAGCGTAAACAGAGACAGTTGCTTATCATCTATTTAGAATAGCGAATAATAATTAAATCATTTACTTGCATCAGTTGTCATATTTACGGTGTCTGCCATTAAACTAGAAAATGATGATGTCATCTGAGTGAAGCAGTAATACATAAACACGTATTGTATGTTCGTTGCAATAACTCTATTTGTACATTTTACGAAACCAATTATCACAAAAAAGAATGCTAGGCTCATAGTAAATGGATTTTCAAAAAGAAATCACATACACTATATTGATACCGATGTATACACATAAAGAAAAAAAAGCAAATAGTGGGGGTCGAAAGACATGAGGAATCGCGCAATGTTCACAACAAACCAGTTTCTTAAACACAAATTAGAATGTTAGAAAATAGAACGAATGACGAATAAATATAAGAAAGAACGTAGAGAACAAATAAATTACAAAAGAATTGTACATTTAATAATGTTAATTTCTATGGTGACGGTTACGTAATATACATGTAGAGTGATAAATGAATGCATCCAGAAGACTCGCCACTAAAATCAATGAAAACAAAAAACCCACTGTACTGATTAAATGAAATAATTACAAAAAATAATCAGAAGTTCGATCAGTCATCTATGAATTAAATAAATATAATCATATTACATCACCAGTCAGTCAGTAACAACGTAGAACTTCGTAAGTACGTACATCAGTTCGAGTTGCCACACCACACTAGCACAGAGATGCAGTGGTCGATTCAAATCCCATAGTGGTAGAGGTAGTAAAAGTATAAGCGATAATCGGAAATATTAGCGCTGAAGATGTTATTCAAGGAGTATAATCCAGTGAAATAAATTTGGAAAGCGAAAAATGAAAGGGACATGAAGAATTCAGAAGATTAGAATTTGGGAAAACACAGAGTGGATGCACTAACACCATTGCAAACGATTATGAACCATGTCATTCAAAGTCTCTAACCATCGGTTGCTATCATCTCGCGGTCCCCAACCAGGTAGTCTACACCTACCAACATGGCTCAGTCCACTTGTTAGTGACTTCATGGACTTGAGCCATGTTTTGATCTGGTTGCCCCTAGCTTTATTCCAATCTACTCCTATACCATTGAACATTGCACGTCGAGGCAGTCGGTGGTTGAACATACGTAACACGTGTCCCAGCCACCTCAACTGATGAAGTTTCACTACTTCATCAATTGATTTACCATCCTTACCTAGAACCCGTTTCCTAACAACTGTATTACTTAATCGGTGGTCCCAGGATATACGAGCAATGTTTCGAAGACACCTATGATCAAATACTAGTAACCTACGAATATCCTCTACTCTTACCGGCCATGTTTCACTGACATAAAGTAGGACGGAACGAACTGCTGCGCAGTAAACACGTGCTTTGGTTGACAGACGGATATCTCGCCTACGCCATAGATGACGCAAGTTGGCGAAAGCTAGTCGAGCCTTCTGTATCTGTGCTGAGATTTCGTCACACACCAGACCACAAGGGTTGATGAGACTCCCAAGATAAGTGAAGCGATCGACACGCTCAATTACTTCACTCCCTATCATTAGTTCGGGTGTCGATGCAACCCAATCCTGAAGCAACATTTTGCATTTCAAGGGGGAGAATTGCATGCCGAACATTCTTGCATTGTTGCTTAGAGTGATCAGAAGACTGCATTTTGTCAGCGTCTTCACCAAATAGAACTATATCATCGGCATATTCTAGATCAAAAAGTGAATCTCCCGGTAGAATTACAACCCGTGGGAATTTAGATGAGGAAAGTGTCATCTCTAAAATCACGTCAACGACAAAGTTAAACAAGAATGGAGATAGTGGACAGCCGTGACGAACACCACTTGAGGTAATCAATTCTGATGGCAGTTCGCCATAAGCTCTCACTCGACCAGTTGTGTTCGAGTAGAGAGCATGTATAAGGTTAATGTACTTCTTTGGTACTCCTTTCAGTGACAAACACTGCTATAGAACCTTACGATCGACAGAGTCAAATGCCACCTTAAGGTCGAGAAATACTACGATTGTGAGGCGTCTGAATGTGTGTCTGTGTTCTAGAACCTGACGTAGTGCGAATATTTGGTCTATACAACCACGTCCAGGTCGAAAACCGGTCTGGTTTACTCTAGTCTGCTCTTCAAGAGCTTTAGTTAGGCGTCGAAGTATTATTGAAGCCAATATTTTAGACACTATATTAGTCAAACTGATTCCTGTGAGATTGTCACACGAGGACTTTTGTCCTTTCTTATAGACTGGCATAATCAGTGATTGAGGCCAGTCAGATGAGATTAAGTTCAGTTCCCAAATTCTACCTAAGACCTCGGTTAATCTCATTGCTAATACTGCACTACCATCCTTAAAAATCTCAGGAGTAAACCTGTCAGGGCATGCTGCTCTCCCTCGCTTTACATTTCCTATAGCTTTTTCAACTTCGTAAAGAGACGGAGGACCTACATAAACTTGCCATTCAGGTTGACTGGAGATCGTGGGAAACCGAAGTGTGGCTGAAGGCCAGTTGAACTGATCCCTAGAGTGTTCTGCCCATCGATCCAATCTCCTGGATTAAGAGTGTATAATATATCCATCTTTCTCTGAGAATGTTTCGCTAACAGTCGGTTTCCTAATACCCGTTTCCTTAACAAGTCTGAACAATTGTCTGCTATTACCTATTGCCGTTGCCTTTTCCATCTCTCTTGCTTTCGCTACCCACCACTGTTCACGATCGTTGCGTAGACTTCTTGTCAGCTTGCGCTTAAGCTGACTCCGCTCTTCATTATGTTCAGAGCCAGGTGGAATGAGTTTCCGAGCATCTATCAGTGCGATAGATGCTGCTGAGATCCAGTGTTGCTCCCTAACCTTCTGGTTTACCTTACTAACAGATATCACTGCTGTTTCCACAGCTTTACGGATATCATTCCATGCTGCCTCGGGGTGGGCATCACATACATGGCTGCCTAACATGTTTTCCTAGTTGTTCCTGAAATATACTCTTAGCTTGACTATCATTAAGTAGGACCCTAAGAGGTTTACTTGCAGCGTCTTTCCTACGTCCTGTAAGACGCAGGCAAATACACGCTCGCACTAGAGCATTATCTGAATCTAAGCATGTGCTTCAGAATGAGCGACAGTCTTCTATCGAGCCCATCCATCAGTGGCTGATAGCGATGTGATCTATTTGGGTCCAACGTTGAGAATTACTCTGGTTTTAGTTTTGCCGTTCTCCAATCGACCTGCCTGGCACGGTAGAGCCTACAGGAACATATGTTCCAGCCAATATAGCTCGTTTGGGTTATCACGATAGGCAAGCCCGACCACCGCGTCTAGGTAGCGGCTACGGCCGGAATATTACAACATGGAGATTGGATAAACAGAAGTCACCAAACAAGACCATGTAATTAGTAGTTACTGATGTTTACAACTAAGTGATATGATCGTTTATTTGGCAGATAAGTAACAAACTTTATTTGTTATAAATGAATGAATTTTAAAATATATATATAACACGTGATAACATATGATATGGCTAAATTTTTATTAATGAACATGTAACGTGTAAACTAACACTCATAAGTTAAAGGTTAAACTACCCTTTCCTCTAACATGATTCGGTTAACTTAACAATGTCATTAATGCTTACACGAGAGATGGTGTCAATAATTAAGTAAAAGTAAATATACATGACTGTTCATCAACAGTCTAAAACTTTTATCTAAAGACTAGATTAAGTATATAAGAAAATAATTGTAACCTAACATAGTACAACAGTGGGGTAATATAACATTATAAGTTATTAATTGAGGTCACTGATCTTCACAAACTGACCTTAGACAGCCATTCAAAACGAGAAAACACTGAACAGCTGTTTAATGCTAGTAAGGGACGTTTTAGCAGTGTGCATCCACGACCTCACTGTGAGTCAAACTCAAGACTTGAAGTCTCACGGCGAGCACTGAGCTGAGATCCAATGTTTTATATTTCTAATTTCAATGAGCGATTAAAATAGGTCATTGAGTAAGTTATAATCCTCCAAATAAACCCAGGCAAATTATTTACCACATACTTGTATATTATACAATAGGTTATAAGAGCTGATGTTATTACCCAGTTATTAGACATGAGTATGTAGAGCGATGTCCAAAAGTGTAATCTTTTCATTCCATCTCACTGTATTTTAAGTGTTTCATTTTTCTCACTCATCGCTACAACAATTATTCTTACTGCAATTCTGTTTATGTTAATTCCATCGAGTCGTGCCAATGCAGTATGGTAACCTAGGATAACGCATATTACGGTGAAGTTCCAGGTTGATTAAAACTAACTGAATGACAGCACATAGGAAAACACAGACAGTGAGAAAGTGAACGTCTGTGACATTATTGACAAACTTTGTTATCACATGTATTCAGTCATCATTTTCAACCACGCAATGTTATCTAGCCACGTGATATCAAAAATCTTAAGAAAAAACTGAATAGTTTTGTCTATTACTTTTTTATTCTAGTTCAGAATACTTTTTTAACTGACATAAATTCAGAATGGATATGATTTCAAAAATAACTTATTAAGAATATTTACTGAATCTACCAAGTACAGCATTCAACAAACAATGTACCATTATTATTTCTAATGATAAAACATCCAAAGTAAATTTTTAACGACAATGTTGTAAACTGTAATGTAAAAAAGAAGCTCTAGCATAAAAAATAGGCCCAATATACTCTCACCTGTAAATACTCCTCCAACAATTGCACATGTATTTGTCAGGAAATGTATAAATGACCTGGAAAAAAAGTGGATAGATTTAAAACTGGGCAGCATCATCGATGAACAAGACGGATTTGATGCAGATACAAAGGCGAGTATTGGGAAAGTAAGGGCTGCATTCATACAGTTGAATAGCGTATGGAACTCATATCAACTATCTGTCAGCTAACACCAAAGTCCGAATCTTCAACACAAACGTCAAGACAGTTCTGTTGTACGGAGCTGAAACTTAAAAAACTACTAAAACCATCATCAAATAAGTATGGGTATTTATAAACAATTGTTTACACAAGATACTGAATGTCCGTCGACCGGATACCATCAGCAACAACCTACTGTGGGAGAGAACAAACCAACTTCCATCTGAAGAGGAAATCAGGAAAACACTTTGAAAGTGGATAGGATATACATTGCGGAAATCACCAAACTGCATCGCAGAGCAAGCGATAACATGGAGCAAATTGTGCCGAGAATTGGAAGCGGATATTAAAAGGGTGAATATCAACTGGAAAGGATTGCCTAGGGCAGAGTCCGGTAGAGAATGTTCGTGGTCAGCCTATGCTCCTCCATGAGGAGTGACAGGCGTAAGTAAGATTTAAAAGTCAATCGGAATACGATAGAGATTTATGTTAACTAATGTAATAATAAAGTTAGTTGGAAAATATTCAAGTTTTTCATTTTAAGATGGTAGTTATTTGTATCGACAAAAACAATAATAACAGATAACGATCTACACTTAAGAAATGTAAGGTTGAGTAAAATGCATATATGATATGAGAGGGAAGCCTAATAGTTAAGGAATTACAAATTGGAGAACGAGTGACTAATAAAATAAGATTCGTCCGACTTTATAACAATGTTGTGCTATTAAGTAAAGAAGACCTATTCTACTGACCTGTTTATCCTCTGATATCCGTTCACCTGACGAGTTGACGTTAACAATACAGTTCTGCATGCAGCCACATTGTGTCACTGAACATCATTTATCAATCAGTATCAATTTTATTCATCTTATCAAGTATTAACTAAGTCAGAGTAAATGATACAATTTTATAAAGTGAATATCTTTTATATACATTATAATATTTTCGACATAATTTTATTAGAGTGCTTACTTTTTCTCTTCGGTAATTTTAACAAGTAAAGGGGCTATTTCATAATTGAAAAATATACCAGGTAATCCTTGACCATCACCAGATAGAGGCGTACCTTTTGAATGCCATGTAGCAGAGTACTGATTAGTTATCACAGTGCTTTCCTATATATTTACACAGAGAAAATCAGAATTAACGAAGTAAACAGAAACTAAGTGTTTTAGAAAAATGTACATATAAACTGTACACTGGACGTTAAATTTTGTGGTAGCATGTGTTAACGATAGGTTAATGTATGTAAACTAATAATAGTTTCATTTTTGTGAAAATTTCAAATTAAATTAGTGAAATATAATGAATCGGTATAAGTAAATGATAATCATTTATATCATATCAGCAGTGAGATTAAAGCAAGTTTTTCCTTACAGAATGGATAAGTAGTAAATGTTAACTCTTTATTGTCCACCTTTTTTATTTGCAACTAATTTCTGTATTTCGATTGTTTAAATTAGTTGAAGGTGAATGTCAAGTTAGTAAAATGCTAAGAAAATGATCCAGAATTGATCTGGAACGTCATCTAGTTGAAAAGTATAGAGTGATGGTTGAACCTGAAAACGGTTCGAGTGACTGAATCAGGTCTAGTGGTTAAGTCGCTGATAAAATCTTGGTAGTGATGGTTATAGTTCCTTTTTCATTTGTCAACAAATATCACTTATGTTGTTAGAAATAGTCGACTGTCCATAGAAAACTGAGTATACCGTTATTTTACTCTCGCTGTGATGTGAAGTGTGGTACCTTTGTATCACGCCCTGCATTACTTGTGACTCCAAACTACTGAGTGGAATCCCGTTTTGTGTTACAAAGATGTTAAGACTTGTGCGATGACATGTAGTCAATCATGCGTTTCGCTTGAAAGATTAATTATGTGCTGAAACCACTCGATAAGCATTGTTGAGAATGAAATTGATGTTTAAGATAAGGCTGGTAGATCAGTTGATGAGGTTGTAAAACTGATTCAGGGGTTATACATGCTACTAATTATCTTTGTTTGCAATGTCAGCTAAATTAAGATTTGGCTGGAATAAGTGTTTAAACCAAGGCATAGCATCAGTCCTTGAAATTACTAACAGCTAGTTTGAACAGTGTAGACAGAAGCGAACACTTTATGAGAAAGGATTTTGATATCACAGAAACCAGCTAAATATTCTATTAGACGAAACAGTCTAAAATTTATGATAGTTATGCAAATATGCACCAACATTTACTTACTAAATTTTCAACGTCATAATACTTCGTATTTATTTTGCTTTGTTTGTTTTCATATTCCTTTATCTATGTTATGTAGTAAGGAAAGTTGAAGTGGGACATAATACGAAGTTTTGTGTTAATATGCTTTTTAGAATATTAAAGATTCCCATTGTGAAAATTAGAACAACACATATAAGCGAACAATTGTTTTCAATTAGATCGTCATCAGGCTTTACTCTAATATACATGAATATTTATACGAAAATGTTAAACCAATCATATTGCCTTGATTGGTTTAACATTTTCGTATAAATATTCATGTATATTAGAGTAAAGCCTGATGACGATCTAATTGAAAACAATTGTTCGCTTATATGTGTTGTTCTAATATGCTTTTTCTTTTGAAATAAGTCTCAGCAGTCAGTTAGATCTACTCAAATAATCGTAACATAACAACTTATTAGAATGTAAAGTAAATAATCTACCAAGCTTTCTGAAAGTCAGCTATTCTAATGCCATCTATGAACGAACACACAGTAAGGTGTAATAAAATAAGTTCTTAAGAGCAACATTAACTACGTAGGTGGGTAGATCATTGTACTTTTCTTTATTTAATTGATATCTAATGAATCATAATAAAATAATCCTTTTTAAAATGTTTTTAAAATTGTACTACCATTCAAATGAGAGGAAAGAAAGTACAATAACTACAGGAACTAAGTATTTAAAGTAATGATGACTACTATGATGAAATGATTACAGACAAAATATTGTTTGAAATGTTAATCAGTGTTGTATAAGAATGTTTAGTGGCCCGTGGATCTGACTCCATTTAGAGCGTACGAATGTTCGTTATCACCCATCCTCGTATACAATTATCGACTTAAATCACGTTAGTCAATAAGGGAATTTAGATAAGTCAATTAACGAGAATGGCCTTTGAATACATATATTTTAAATAGAGCAAGAACATAAAGGGAACCAATTACATATATTTTATATGTAAAGTGAATGTGATAGAACACAGCAAAATGACGCGCAAGGGAGATGACTGGTTAGCTAACTCCATTTCGAGCTAGGCGTTGAGCTATATTTATAGGCAGTCAAAATAAACTACAGACATGTGATATGTAATGAGATAGGAAATGTACACACATATACGCTCATATAAGAACAGTCAAGACTGTTAAGCGAATAATTAATAAGGTCAAAGTATGACTCAAGCAGAATGAGCAGATTGGTTTGTCCAAAAACTAGAATAAGATACATTATGAGCTTAAAATAATAACTGACACTACAAATGTTTTAAAACATAGGATACTCAATATTCATTTGCCGAACTAATGATAGGAAGTGAAGTAATTGAGCGTGTCGATCGCTTCACTTATCTTGGGAGTCTCATCAACCCTTGTGGTCTGGTGTGTGACGAAATCTCAGCACAGATACAGAAGGCTCGACTAGCTTTCGCCAACTTGCGTCATCTATGGCGTAGGCGAGATATCCGTCTGTCAACCAAAGCACGTGTTTACTGCGCAGCAGTTCGTTCCGTCCTACTTTATGTCAGTGAAACATGGCCGGTAAGAGTAGAGGATATTCGTAGGTTACTAGTATTTGATCATAGGTGTCTTCGAAACATTGCTCGTATATCCTGGGACCACCGATTAAGTAATACAGTTGTTAGGAAACGGGTTCTAGGTAAGGATGGTAAATCAATTGATGAAGTAGTGAAACTTCATCAGTTGAGGTGGCTGGGACACGTGTTACGTATGTTCAACCACCGACTGCCTCGACGTGCAATGTTCAATGGTATAGGAGTAGATTGGAATAAAGCTAGGGGCAACCAGATCAAAACATGGCTCAAGTCCATGAAGTCACTAACAAGTGGACTGAGCCATGTTGGTAGGTGTAGACTACCTGGTTGGGGACCGCGAGATGATAGCAACCGATGGTTAGAGACTTTGAATGACATGGTTCATAATCGTTTGCAATGGTGTTAGTGCATCCACTCTGTGTTTTCCCAAATTCTAATCTTCTGAATTCTTCATGTCCCTTTCATTTTTCGCTTTCCAAATTTATTTCACTGGATTATACTCCTTGAATAACATCTTCAGCGCTAATATTTCCGATTATCGCTTATACTTTTACTACCTCTACCACTATGGGATTTGAATCGACCACTGCATCTCTGTGCTAGTGTGGTGTGGCAACTCGAACTGATGTACGTACTTACGAAGTTCTACGTTGTTACTGACTGACTGTTCAGTAGTATATCTTCGTTTTTAGTACCAATGATTTAGATGTATACGCTAAGGAATATCAATGAATTTAATATTAACATGTTCTTAACTCATTGTTGTATTTTGAAACAACGAAGAAAACCTATGAAGTCATTAAAAAGAATGAAGATGTTCTATAAAGGAGAATCTTCTTTTCTAGAATGTCATTTTTTATACTATACAATAGTATTTATCAGTAATGTGATATGAGGTTTGAATAAATTTTAGTAAATTTATCCAATGATATAATTGTTCTTCTATATTATGATAGAATACTTTATGTAAAATTACTGATAAATACGATTGTACAACTTAAGAAAATGACACTGTCGAAAAGATAATTTAATTCGTTGAATTATTTTTTTTTCAATAATCATCTTAACAACTACATGTTGAAGAGCTAAAAAACTTCCAGCAAAAAAATGAACATTATGTACAGGATTTACGAAATTTTACCAATATGTTTTAAGTGAAACACACATGAGTTACAACATACATTTCGGTTAATGCCGGTATACATAGTCGGTACCAGTTTTAGGTAGTAAATAAACATCTGGGAATCTGAAAGTTCGGAAATAACACAAATAGTAATTATTTGTAAATAAACTAAAGTGTGCAGTTACAGGGTTGAAAGAATACATAATAAGTAGTGAGAGGATTAAGACGAAATACATTTTTGATAATTAATCAAAAATTATTAATAATTACGTAAGAGTAAAAAAACAAATGTTAAAAAGTATATAAGAACAGAAAAGGCAAAACAGATTGGGAAAAAAGCGTAGTAATAAGTGTATTCTAACTCTACTCTACTATAGCTTATATTGATGGCTAAGGTGGGGAAAGAGAGGGATTGTACACATTTCTACTGAATGCCTAAGTCAGGTTTATTGATATGAATGCCATATGCAGTATCAAGAAGATTCACGCATAAATCATGTATATTTGATGAAATACGGTAGATGACTAGAAAAGATTTATTTCAAACTACTTGATTTTCTATATTTATCAGGTGATCAAGTATTGAGTTCTTAATCATGTTTAATTGTCATCCATTCAACTACACAGAATGGTATTTGAAAAGAGAATGATGTACTTACCTACCTGTGTTTCCTATGTGACTAGCTCGATATGAGCAGTAAAAATGATAAATACACATGGATGAGGTGAAGTCAAACATCTTATCTTTGTTTCTGGTTGGCATAATCGAATGATTATTGACTACTGTATCCAGCATGGATACAATAAACGTTTCCTCTAAACATTTTACTAACCGTTGACTTAATATTTAAACTACAGTCTGTGTGCATCGTTTTCATATTGCCGAAGCGATCGGAATTCATATCAATGAACTTAAATTATGTATTCAATTGAACTTCTTACAACCTCTTTCTTTCCCCCACCTTGGCCATCAACATAAACGTGTTAGAATAGAATTATTGCTCCACTTTTTTCTAAATTTGTTTTCCTTTTTCTGATCTTAGATAGTTGTAACAGAAATGTTTTTCCTAATCCTCTCATTGGTTACTATGTATTTTGTTGATCTTTTAACACGTTACTAATAGTAATAATGAATAAATCCAATTCAAAAAATTATTGTGTTTAAAGATTAGTTGTCAAATTATAAACAATATTTTTATCTTCACTTGATATTGTTTTTACTTGAATCTTCCCATTGATGTTTTACGACTGAAATTGATCAGTCTCTTATTGGCATATGTGCATACTGTGCGTATGCCAATAAGAGACTGATCAATTTCAGTCGTAAAACATCAATGGGAAGATTCAAGTAAAAACAATATCAAGTGAATTAAACTTCACCCCATTGCACAAGCAAGTGGCTATCAGGACTCAGTAGCTAAGTGGATAACGCGATTGCGTTTGAAGCGAACGGTACTGAGTTCGAGTCCCAGAGTGAACATCAACTCTGAGATGCAGGTACGTCCAGCTGACGAGTCCCGAATAGGACGAAACGCGCGTCCTGGATTCCACTGCTAGCCACTATCCATCTTTGCGTATAATATTGTTATCTGTTCTGTGATACTGATTAAAATCAATTGATCAGTGAATGAGCTATCGTGGTATTAAAAAAGAAATAAAGGTAATCTAGAAGAGAAAAACTGCCGCTTCTAGTTTAATTTTATTCAGTAATCAGTTATAATTAGTGCTTCCAAGATTCTCATTTTTTTAACATCTATCAAGTGGACAATTATCTTATACTTTTGAACAACAAATTATATACAGTCTAAGAATTTTTTAACCTTAAAATCATTGTGTAATTTTCGGGCGACACTTAAAATTTCTAAATACTTGATGAAGTAAGCTCTTTTTATTTTTAATAAATAATTATAAGTACCAGAAGGGGTTTCGTGGATATTATAGTAATTTTAATAGTTGAGATCATGAGTCAATTGAGGCTAGACCATCATGGAAAACCTGGAAACACTGGGAGGCCGTTTCGTCCTACTGTGAGACGTGGATGTGCACTGATGAGGAGTCACACAGTAGGACGAAACGGCCGCCCAGTGCTTCCAGGTTTTTCATGATGGTCTAGCTTCAATCGACTCATGATCTCAACTATTAAAATTATAAGTCCAACTGTACAGCTTTGGTAAATGAAGTCATCATCTAAGAAAGATTTTCTTTCCCGAGTTGTCTTTGTCTTCTTTTTTAATAATTAGAAAGTAAAAGTGTAGCTACTAGGATGAGTTACATGTTAATAAAATCTTTCAAGAGATTAACTATGAGAAGAATGACTGAATAATCCTATTGCACCGAAAACTGTTGAGCAAACCAAGGTAATAAATTTAAGGAAGCAGGAGTATACTCAATGTAGTAAGCGAAATTCAATGTAATTTGTTAGTTGTCTTCAAAAGAATCTCATCGTTATATTATGCAGCCCAACAAATAAAACGCAACTGAAGTACTTACTACTTGTGACCACGACTTTTGTACAAATGTACACAGTGCAAAGACTAGTCTCTTTATGACTACAGCTCTTATTGTTTAATAATTATTCACTAAAACAGAGGGATTCGAGTACAGATTGTGTAGATGGTGAATGAGCTATCGTGGTATTAAAAAAGAAATAAAGGTAATCTAGAAGAGAAAAACTGCCGCTTCTAGTTTAATTTTATTCAGTAATCAGTTATAATTAGTGCTTCCAAGATTCTCATTTTTTTAACATCTATCAAGTGGACAATTATCTTATACTTTTGAACAACAAATTATATACAGTCTAAGAATTTTTTAACCTTAAAATCATTGTGTAATTTTCGGGCGACACTTAAAATTTCTAAATACTTGATGAAGTAAGCTCTTTTTATTTTTAATAAATAATTATAAGTACCAGAAGGGGTTTCGTGGATATTATAGTAATTTTAATAGTTGAGATCATGAGTCAATTGAGGCTAGACCATCATGGAAAACCTGGAAACACTGGGAGGCCGTTTCGTCCTACTGTGAGACGTGGATGTGCACTGATGAGGAGTCACACAGTAGGACGAAACGGCCGCCCAGTGCTTCCAGGTTTTTCATGATGGTCTAGCTTCAATCGACTCATGATCTCAACTATTAAAATTATAAGTCCAACTGTACAGCTTTGGTAAATGAAGTCATCATCTAAGAAAGATTTTCTTTCCCGAGTTGTCTTTGTCTTCTTTTTTAATAATTAGAAAGTAAAAGTGTAGCTACTAGGATGAGTTACATGTTAATAAAATCTTTCAAGAGATTAACTATGAGAAGAATGACTGAATAATCCTATTGCACCGAAAACTGTTGAGCAAACCAAGGTAATAAATTTAAGGAAGCAGGAGTATACTCAATGTAGTAAGCGAAATTCAATGTAATTTGTTAGTTGTCTTCAAAAGAATCTCATCGTTATATTATGCAGCCCAACAAATAAAACGCAACTGAAGTACTTACTACTTGTGACCACGACTTTTGTACAAATGTACACAGTGCAAAAACTAGTCTCTTTATGACTACAGCTCTTATTGTTTAATAATTATTCACTAAAACAGAGGGATTCGAGTACAGATTGTGTAGATGGTTAATGATTCTGGGTTCTCCATATTGTGGAAAAATGTTTCTTCAGTTGAGATCTGAGAGTAAAATGGATTGTTATAAGAGGTTTTTGTCATATTAGTCCTCTACTTTCGGGACTTAAGCTTAGTGCTGGATATACATGGTCCAAGAGTTAATAGCGTTTTTAGAGGAGACCTTTTCTGCCTCATTCTTACACCTGTGAGAAGGGAGTATAGCTGAAGATTTTGGTTAACCATGAAGAATAGGTTAATGTGGTCAAACCTCAAACACAGCCGACAGTATGATTTCACCCTCAAATTTTAAATTAGTTGCTTTTAATCTCAGCAGTCTTTAACCGGCTTGTATGACCTCAAAGAAAGTGTTTCAGTCGATGTACTTTATTCTAGCCATTGCAATAAGCAAGTATGACTAGTGACTAAATGTGCCAACTACGGCCAAGAAATCGACTACTCATTATCAATTTCTAACACTCTTGGGACCTCGTTAGTCTGTAAGCACTGCTGAAATAGATTTACTTTCAGGATTTCACTACCATGAATAAATCGATATGATACATGGGAGGTGACTGCTAGGCGTATGCAAGGCATTTCGTCGGATATTTTGGCAAATAAAATTTAGACTTCATCAAAAGATTTACCTCCCATAGGAATTTTCACCTCTAATTTTTCTACTACTTACTCGGCGGTGTCTCTGAACGTCAGGGGTGCCATATGTGTCATCAGGGTGGTGAACGAGTGTTTGTTTTTAAGTTATCAAGGCAAAGGTGAGACATTCCAAATAAATACAGATTAGTACTTACGTGGTTGTACCGCCATTTTCGTTCCATCTAGTGGATTAACTTGACCAGGATATGAATCACCAAAACGAAGCTCCCCGATTGAATGAGACACGTTGAACTAGGTTAAAACATTGTTGTATAATCAGTGCATTATAATTATAATGAAAATACTTTGTAAAGAAATATTATAGGGAATGAACAATTTTTTCAAACGATAGCCAATTTAGGAAATGTCTTGCACAATTAAGCGTTATTTCAGAGCAGCCTTTAAACCGGTGTTATTAAGAAAAAAATCTTCTCTTTTGGGGATGTTACTTAATCAAGATAAATAAACAACGGCGATGGTAACGACTGTCAGATTTTAGCGATCAAATAAATTCATTATCAAGTATTGAATACATAAAAGCATACTAAAGCGATGAACAAATGGATAGATGAAAAGCAGTAATAGTTTGTAGTAAATTAACGTAATCAATAACATAAGGTAACTGTTGTGAACCTACTACTTCGTGCACTCCTCTTGACTACTGACATCAAATGAAGAGAACACCTGCAGATCTTCTTTGCTTTCATGAGTACGTTTACATGAAGTTTTAGACAAATTGTCTGGTTATTTACCTCATAAATTGGTGACCAGTTATCAAATTAAAATCCGAGAGCATAAAAGAACCTATCGTTAACTACCATATGAGTCTTGTGTCGTCCTTGCCTAGTGAAAATCCTGCAGTTGACCTTGCTCTTATAAAATTAAAGACTAAATCTCAAAATCAGTGTGGCAAAGTAGAAGAATTGAATCAAATTACATCTAACTTGCACAGAAAATGTTTGGTAAATATAATTATCTATGATTTGAATTTTGACCAATATAACTGATATGCCAAAATCATCACTTACATACCACATGGTAGTTCGAGTATTTATATGAATGATGCCTCTAGACTTAGACACACGTCAGATGAAAAACTATATAATTTTATCAAAATATATTATTGTGACAGGTATCGTATAAAGTATGGAGAAGACTACTCAATCAAATATTTCTGTTAAGAATACAAAAAACAGATAACAAAATAAGTGAACGTCAATGTAGACGAAACTGTTTTGAATGCTATAACCCTGAATTAAACTTCAACTCACCTGAACAGGACCGAGACTTTGAAAGCTATGAAAGTGTGCATGATTTTCAGTGTAACTATGACCAGGAGCAATATGAAACGCCCCACCAACTCGATTAACTGTTAAATTTCCATGAATTCTGCAACCTTCATTGCCTATCTTTTGTTTAATCTCGTTCCAGTTTTCCTTTCGGCACTGTTCAAATGCAGAAATATTTACCAATACCCATCGCATTTCATTATACGCCATTTGAACTTCCTCACATGTATTACAGCACCTTAAAATATAGTCATGGCAGTATATACATCGATTATTGAACGAATCAAAATCAGGGAATATGAAAACACAAAGTTTCATACAGTGTGCTAACACAGTCCTATTCGATGAAAGGATTGGTCCAACGGAGCCTCTTGAACGAGTATGTTCGGAAAGAGTTTCTTTCCCCAGAAATCAAAAATGTTGTTTCGGGACCGATTACACCAACTGGATTCTTCACAGAAAGCGTTGACTGCTTCACTTATCTTGCGAGTTTCATCAGCCTTATTAGGTGGGTGCCCTGCGAAGTCTTGGCTGGCGTTAAGCAACATGAATGGCAAATTGATGTAAGTCCTCCAACTCTAAGTGAAGTTGAAAAGATTATAAGCAATCCAAAGAGAAGGAGAACAGTGGGACCTGATCAACTAATCCCTGAGAATTTTAAGGATGGTGGCTCAGTTTGAGCAACTAGAATAAGTGAACTACTAGCTAACATCTGGAAACTGGACGTAGTCCATCTGACTGGTCTCAATCGCTGATCGTCTCAGTTCATAAGAAACGATAAAAGTCCTTTTGTGACAATCACAGAGCAATCAATTTATCTAATATAGCATCTTAAATACTAGCCTCAATACTTCGGTATCTAAATAGAGCTCTTGAAAAGCGAACCCGAGAAAACCAGAATGGTTTCAGACATGGACCTGGACATGTAGACCGAATATTCACCCTCCGGCAAATTATGGGACGTAGACATGCTCCCCGACGTCCGATTACAGTTGTATTCCTTGATCCTAAGGCAACATTCATCTTTGTTTATCGTGAGGTTCTGTGGTAGTCTGTCACTGAAAGGAGTACCAAAGAAGTACACTAACCTTGTGCAGACTTACTACATACAAATTTCTGGTCGAGTCAGAGCTCAGCAAACTGTCATCGGAATTGGTTACTTCAAGTGATGTTCGTCAGGGTTGTCCTCTTTCCTAATTTTTATTTAATTTTGTCACAGACATGCTTTTAGCGATAGTACTTCCATTGTCTGACGTTTTCGGGGGTTAATTTTGTAACGGAAGATTCACTTGTCGACTTAGAGTATGCAGACTATATAGTATTGTTTGCTGGAGGCACTGACAAAACAGTCTTCCGATTATCTTAAGCAACAATATAAGGATGTTTGGAATGCGATTTTCTCCCTCCCAATGCAAAATGTTACTTCGAGATTGGCTTACGTCACCACTTGAATTAGTGATAGGGGATGAAGTAGCTAAATGGATTGACTGCTCCATTTATCTGCAGAGCCTCACAGTACTGATGAACTGGTTTCCGACGAAATCTCAGCACGGACTTATAAGGCTCCATTGACTCTTGCCAACTTGCGTCACTTGTGGAGTAGTCGAGATATTCGTCTTTCAACCAAAAGGCAAGTGTACTGAGAAGCAGTTCACTCCGTTTTACTTTATGGATATGAAACTGCCATTAAGAGTATAAGATATTCGTAGGCTACTGGTATTCAATCATAGGTGTATATGAATCATTGCTCGTGTATTTTAGGACCACAGAATCATAGCACTAAATAAATATGGGGAATTAGTTGAGAAGGTAGCAAATCTTCATCAATTGAAGTGGTTAGAACATATGTTGCGTATACCAACCACTATCTTCCTCGACTGGCGATGTTTTCTGGTGTAGAAGTAGGCTCAGAGACAGCTAGGGGCGGAAAATCCAAAACGTTGCATCTGTCCAAGAGGCCACTGACAATTAAACTTAGCCACGTTAATAGGTAGAGATTACTCGGTTGTGGTCCGCGTGATTATCAAAACCAATGATTAGAGACTTTGAATGACATAGGTTGACACGGGTGTATCGATTCTTTGCCTTCCCTCAATCCCTGAGATCCTGGATTCCTAAATTTCCAGTTTTTATTTTTCTAATTTATATCTTTTTGAGTTGTATTTTTGATTCCTAATCTTTCCTATTACCAATGATAATATTACTATTCTGAGATTTGGTCTGAAAATTTCATCTCTCTGTGCTAATGTGGTATGACAAATTAAACCGATGTACATACGTACCATTTTCTACGTTGTGACTGAATGAATGAACTGAGAAATCATCGTGAGAACCAGAAGTGATACCCTAGCACAAAGAACGATTATTTAACGTTACCATTACAAAAATCTGATTGATTTACTAAACATATGTAGAGGGCTCAGTAAAAAGGAATGGAAATGATGGAGGGTGAAGTGTATCCAAATTTTAAAGCCACTGCAATATAATGTCATTTACTGCATATAGATCAATAAGTCAAGACGTTCAATAAAAGCTTAGTATCTTTAACAATCGTCTCATTCATTTCAGGTAGCATATATAGATGGTTAACTTAGACTTTTACGAAATTTTTATCATTGCTAATATTTTTCATAGCATCCCATTTGTACAATTCGTCTTGCCGTCTCCAAACTGTTAACTCCCTTCGGAAAATATATGTTACATTGATTATCATTCACCATAACGTACCTCGCTACGTACATCTTGTCCGTTTAAGCTGCTGTCACATTGCTAGGTTCCTAAAATACATGGTGCATACTTTTTACTTGGTGTTGTGAAAACTATTTTATTTGATCCTTCATATATACATATTCACTAAAGTTATCATTATTTTTACCACCTGTAGCCATAAATATACGTAAAATAAACGGGGATTCCGAAAGTTGTCAACAGACACTTTTCCAGCATCTGATCTATGTGTTTTGCCTCAGAGGTAATCCCAATCGGAAGTGCATCTATTGCGTAGCCAAAACGTATAAAATAGAATTGAATAACGTGGGATAGGGAGGGTGCTTGTTACCAGGGGAACAATATGCAGACTGCTTATGACGAACTGAACACCATAAAGATACACGGTAAATGCTAAAACACAATTTTATTTAGCTTGTTGTAAAACAAGTAACTTAGGATAGTTTGGATCAATTCAGGATCCTCAAAAGAAATGCAGAGACGATATTACAGTGTCCTCAGAGTTTAATGTACCAAGATATTTAAGAAATTTGGATGGGGCAAGTGTGCATAATTTCTTTGCTTTAGTTAGAAACACAACTGCTTTTCAAAATTAGAAAAGACTACAACACCATAATTAACGGTAGAATCAATTATATTAACGATAGCAAGTCTCGAATTCTAGCGCTAAGTTCATTTATCTACATGGTTAGACAGTATTTCATCATTACGGCTGGTGTCAATTCGTGATGAAAACCTTTATCGCAATTCCTAAATTTAACTTATAAATTCTAATCCCAATCCAAAATCCTTTTGACACCAGAATTTATCTTTCTTCTCAAGGTTACACTACACTGAATCAAAGGGCATCTATAAAGTATAGTCTCATCGAAAAGACATTTCTATGACGATTTACGAGCGTATCAAGAGTCCGCAGAGAAATAGACTTTAAAGCAATAGTTTAATTATTATTACGGTTGATACTGAATGCAGTCAAATAGACGTTACTTAATCTGACGCAAATAACTGAAGTAAGCATAGTGAAGACGAAACGCAAGTTTAACTTACAAATAATATATACACTGATCAAAGAACTCAGTATTTTTATGACCTACTTCCTTGAAGGAGACTCTGCCCCATAACATGAGCCACAATAATTGGGATCTCTCGTTGTTGCGATAGCCGAAGCATCATTTACAGCTGGGAAAATATTATTGAGTATGAACTTACCATGGCGAACACTATCCGATAAAGGAGTGCCATCAACTGAAACACTAGTTTTGTAAACTTCGTGCATAACATTTAGCTGCTGCGCACCCGTCGTGTCCATTGTATCTAGGCTTAAAACTACAGTTTGCATCCAAGGCGCACAAACTTGACTTACATCTGCACGGGATAAAGTTTAGCGTTATATCCAAGTAGATAGACATCTTTTCTCCACGGTTGACATCTACAATAATCTCCTGCTTACTCCGTGTGCGCGTAAACGAGAGAAGTTCTGATGTGAACAAAATTCCGATGATTAGACTACTTATTATTGAAACTGAAAACGATGAAGCGGGCTAGACCAAAAATGCAAACAAAATACCCAAAGCTCCAGACAGCGTTTTGATACGAAAGTCTTTGAGTGGTTTTGCAAAAGCATCGAAATTCTGAAGAGACTTCATGACATAAACGATTACTGAACAGCAACAACTTTCCACTTAGTTCGTAATGTATGCATATGCAGACAAGGTCATTAGAGGACGTGCCACGTCCAATATAACGATATACAATTGAGTGGTCAAATGGTTGGCGAAGAAATTAAAAAACTTCTAGCTTAACAAACCACTGTGTACACAAGCAGTATACCATCAATTTTTTAAACAATTATTCTAAAGAAGATTCAGATTTGTGTAGTAAGTACAAATGCCTACAGCCTGTTATTCCTTTTTCCAGCCTTAGCTTGAATGAATCAGTTGAAGATGTAGACACCACTGCTCCGGGTAACAGGTTCTAAGCGTTGATTACTCAATGTGAAAAACCTGTATGTCACGGGTATTTTTTCGTCCATAGCTTTTCTACTCGCCTGCTATGTCCTTTGAGATGTCCCGACCTAATGGGAAGAAAAAGAGAATATATATTAGGTCCAAAATCGTTTCGTAGTATTCTATACGTCGAAATTTGATCGCCACTTAGTCTGAGATAGGACAGAGCAAAGGTGTCTAGATTTCAAGACGCTCTTTGCATGGTAAACACCGTAGATCTGAAATTGCATGGGTAGCTGCTCTCTGTGATTTTTCCAGGATATTCGAGTCACCTTCCAAACAGGGACTTGCAGCCTGAATGTAAATTTCAAACTTAGTTCTTACTGAGGTTTTTTTTATTGTAGTGAACACCGTAGTATCTAATTTAGTGAATATCCTGCTTAAAGCCTAGGGGGTTCCAAACCGCTTAGCCTCAACCTCCAGGCAATCGGCCGCGGTCTTGGGATCATGACTCACTGTCACCCCAAGATCCTTTGAGACCGGATCACGGGTACAGACACTTCCTCTATGATGTACTTAATAACCTTTATATCTCTAAAGTACATATGAACACACTTTGCCACGTTGATAGGCATCAGCCACTCTTCAGCCCAGCTAATCACACTATTTAAGTGTGCCTAAAGTGTGCATGCATCTGCGTCTCCCGTCGTCAGCGTGTGATAACATCTGGGACCGTACTATACTTGAGAGATCATTTACATATAGTATGAAAAGTAAAGGAACTACGACGGAACGTTTTCGACCTACTAGGAAATCCTTAATCCACTTTAAGAGAGGTCCGGCAATACCAAAATTTTCCAACTTCAATAGCAGTGTATTTGTTGACACCTTGTCAAATGCCTTACTGAAGTCTATGTAGACAACATCCACTAAGTTTTCGTTGTCTAGCGCCTCTATTAAGAGCTCCCTTGTTATGTGGAGGTTTGTTTTGCAAGATAAACTCTTTCTGAAACCATGTTGTCCGCTGTTCAACATGTTGTTGGTTTCCACAAATGTCATTATGGCATTCTAATATTTTAACTACAACACTAGCGAGGCTGACATGTCCGTGGTAAAATGAAAGTGGTTTTGGTTCTTTTTTATGCTTAGGAAAGATGATTGCGTCCTTCCAGTCCATAGGTAACACACATTGGTCAAGTGACATATTGAATATCAGAGTGAATAAGGTTAAGAAAAACTTGCAATATGTCTCGGGATTTTGGGGTCTAGTTCATCCTGTTCTGTTGACTTTTCCATGTCTAGGGTGCTAAGAGCATCAAGTTTATCATTTCAATCAAAGCCATCGGTGAGCAAGCGGTTTGTTGACTTTGTATTTGGGTCTGGTTCTTTGCCTAGAAGTTCGTTAGTGAAAACTTCCTCAAAATAGTTAGCCATAGCCTCTGCGTTTTCCTGATCATCCTCTATCATTTCCGCTTCATTCCCTTCTTTAATTAAGCTCGGAATCCAATGCTATATCCTTGTCCTGTAATTTATGTATGAAAATAGTCTCTAAGACTGCTTGAGTGCAGATTATGTCAACTGCATTTCATATTTTCTCTGAGCTTCCCGGATTCGAATTATAGATATGGACATAATATATTTATGCAAGAGCAGTCACGCGCTATTTTTGCAGGCATGATCTGCAAATTACAACATTTATTGCTTCTCAGTATGCGTTTTAAATTTATACAGTCTATAAAAGTGAATGTCAGTTCAGTCCTACAGTTTGACTGAGTAAACGTCAAAATATTTTCCAAAGTGGTATCGGGTTCACGCTACACACCAGATCCAATATCAGCATAATTGTGTTAGGATTTTGGTCATGCTAATTATTTATTCAATTCAACTCTTTAAGTTTATAGTTGTTATAAAGTAAACTTGTAGATCGCTTGGTGTGAATTATGACCTTGGGAAAACACGTACGTCTAGTTTGTTCCACATGTCGGAAATTCCATAGATGTGCACTCAGAGGAATATTCTGAAAAGAAGAGAAGGCACTTGGGTTTGAATGTTAAACAATACCTAACATTTTGTAGTGGAATAGACAGAGGTAAGATAAATTACTAGGTTAAATTCATACTAGCTTTTGTAGCGAGAGTGAAATATGATCAGAGGCTCCAGATGAGGGAGTGCAGTAATAAAGAACAACAAGTTGTGATACTTACCAAGGTGGAGTAAGTTCAAATGAAGGAAGATTAGTCAGGGTTGAAATAAGGAAGGCCGTTTATTAGAATAGAATAACCATGTTTCTAAGACAGCAGTAAAATCCAGTCTTGAGCTCCGCCATTGTATTCAGAAAGCTGCGAGTATTTGTGAAGCACATCTTTAACTCTTTGGAGAACTTCCACTTGCTATTCAGAGTGGTTTGGATATCATTTCGCTTCGAATATTTGCAATTTGAAAACTCTTAATTACGAGGTTTCTTTCACAGTTTCGGTGGCACTCATTAATTTCTACTTCTGCAGCTCGTCTCTTAGTACGATCAATGAGGCTGAGATATTCACGAACGTATATTACGGATCCAATCAGTTTGCGTGCGTTTCCCAGTATCAGGTTTCTTCCATCAACCGTCGCAAAAGTAATCCTCAAGAGGCAGTTTTTCTGAGTATTTTCAGAATCCAGCTTTTATCCTATTCTATAAAGCTTACAGATGCTAACTCCATAAACTTTTTCCGGGAGTAGCTTGCTTATCAAGGACTTGATGTGACTGAGGTCGCACTCGAATCTAGCCTTCGGTTCCTTACCGGAAGTTTCCCTTAACTTTTGAGAAATGGCTGATCTCTCAGCGCGGTCCGTCTTAACAAGTTGTGGGATTTTAGTTCACGAAATCGTTTCTCTTCTGCAATCCCATTTCAGTTTGGTGTCAAACGCAGCAGTCAAGTTCTGTTTTCTTACTTTTATTTTCCTAGATGTGACTGTTAGCCACTCATTTACCTTATCTTGTCTCTTATTCACATCCTCTACAGCGCTCAGACTTGACACCCCATGGTTTGTTTTGCATCGATATGTGAATCCGGAACTGAAACCGTAGATTCACATACCTTAGTACTAGCTATAGTTAGTTTCTTCTCAGTGAGCTTATTCGTCATCACTGTGACAATACTCACATCCGTACGCTTGTTATCCGCCTCCCTGATGGAATCCACCTTCTTGTTCTCATTCAAATCCAGAACTGGACTCATGATAACGCTCTTTATTTCGCCGAAAGCGGAATTATGCTGAAATACTGTTGCCTGTTTATCCTAGATATGTTCGGCGGCTCAATCGCATCTAGACATGGCAGAGACTTTATCGAACAACATGCTTTTCACAGCCAACGTGATAATGACCTGCAGCACCTTTTATATGCAACCGGTGCACACATTGTGATTCCACTTATTGAAGTTGCCACATTGAATCCCGTCATCGAAAGAGAAACAGCATCCAGCTCTGCCACAACGATGTTTTACTTGCACTATAAATTTCTTGTGGGATTTCACAGCGAAAACTGATCCCTAGATAAAGTGTCTTTTCAAGCGTGATAAGTGATAGACACTAAAAATAAACAAAAGCGGGTTTGTTTATCACTGTACCTAACGATAATAGAAAAATCTGATCCAGCAGTTACAAAGAGACTTTAAAATCTATGGGTACAAAAAATACTCAAAGATATACTCAGCGATGGAGAATAAATACCAATACCCTAATTTTTTGTATCTGCGCTCGTAAAGTACAAATGATAAGCAACTCTAGAAAAATAGCGGTACTCTTAAGGATTACTTTGAAATAAATGCATAAACAGTGGTCTTGATATGCAATTTGACGACCATTGTCCTTTATGAACAGCGTGCAGAACTTTTAAACATGCCAAATAAGCCAACAGATTTCTTCAGTCTGCATAGGAAAGGAATGGAGATCAAGTGAATATTGTTATTCGCAACTAGTTTTTACGCTTATAATTAACTAATCACATTTAACGTAGCGTAAGGTGTCCTGCTGCTACATATTATCGTCAGGAGTGAACGAAAAGTTAGGTAGGTTTATCATCAAGAAGAATGAATGCAAATGTTGTCGGTGAGCGTTTTCAGATGCAGTGTCGTGCGTCAGCATCAAAGTTTTCTCCCGAATTGTCATATCAGCACTGAGCGGTAAGGTCTCAACAAGTACGGAGCTAACACAAAAATTGCCCATAAAAAGGTCGTGTGTGACCGACCTCAAGACCTTGGGCACTGCGGTCACGCTCCCTGGTCAAGAAAACCACTTCTAATCCGATTTCATTTTCAAGTACCTCCAGAACAACCCTTCCACGGTGTGGGCAACCGGGAAGTGATAACCGCCCTCATACCTCTAACAGCACTCAAGACCACTGGATTCATAATCAACCTCCCTCTTCAATTCCTATTATTCCTCCTACATCGACTTTCACCTCTAAATTTCCTCTTTCGGCTTCCTCCTCAAGTATCACCATAGCCAACGATTCTAGTTCTCAAAACTCTGTACCAGGCCTGCTGAAACGTCGCTCCAAACAACACATTGAAGACTTCAACGTACGCACCTTATGTCAAATCGGTCAACAAGCTTCCTTGGCTAGAACCCTAGAATCTCGTACCATTGATGTGTGCTGTGTCTCCGAAACACGCATACAGGATCCCAGTGTGTTCATTCACTTGACCTCACCTCGGCAAAACGGAGAGCCAACGAGATACACCCTCCATGTATCTGGTGACCCGATGGCCAGTTCTCGTGGACTGGCAGGTGTAGGCATAGCACTAAGTATGAGGGCCGAACA